AGAGTCTGGCATGTGCCTGTGCATTCAAAAGAGTAGCTTTGGTTGATAACAAGCCATATCATGATGCTAGTGGTTAAACTTCAAGGTTTTTTTCTAGAATATTTGATAAAGTAGGCCTTCTTCCATTTACTAAAATTCTCCTATTAGAATATAACTGTTAAGATTATGAATTAAGCACTGGGGTAATGTATTTTTAACTAATCTTGTGCATATTCACATTTGAATTCACAGAATTCACTTTCCTACATTCATTGATTTTTCACTTTTTATCTATTTTGATGTCAAATGAATAAAATTTCACTCATTTTTTTCCTTAAAAAGAACTACTACTAAGGTCATTGATTTATAAGAGCGAATTCCTTTCTTCTGGTCCCAATCTGGTTTCTGCTGTAGTTGACATGGGATTTATATACTATCCCTGATGTGCTTAACATCCTCTTGGACTCTTGGTTTCCAAATTTATGTCCAGGAAAACTCAGTTTCTAGAGCCGTACAGTCCTCCAGTGAGGCCTCAGTGAGGCCATGGGGAATAATGCACAAGAAAGATCTCTCTAGAAGGCACATAAGGATTATAAGACTGGCTAACCAATGAACTTATTGCACTGCAAAGCTAGAATTCTATTCCTGCCTCCAGGATTTGGTATGCACTAGCAATCAGTGATTTCTGCTGGTTTCCCATTCTCTCTGTTCCTGAATAGTGGTCTCTCTTTAGTTTCATGTACCCTATTTTTTTCTCTGTTGTTCTGTATTGTGGGAGTTGGGAGAGATAACTTGTCTTCCAAGCTTATAAGTGCTAAGCCATGAGAAGCAGCCATGTCTGAGCCTGTTGGGGATGATGGCATCACCAGACGTGATTATAGGATGAGGCTTTGAGGTATGCTCCTTTGGGGAAGAAATTAATGCACACCACAAAATGTATAAAAGGGTATGTATAAAAGAAGAATGTATAAAAGAATGGTGCAATGGATGTTGGACAGCCAAAAAGATGAACTATACTTAATTATCTCTACTAGAGGCAACAAAGCTAAATTATTTATAATCCTAGCCTCTTTTGCAGCTAAGGGGGAAACCATATGACTCAGTATGGGCCATTGTGATGTAAACACAAGTTCCTAAGTTGGGATTCTGGGAAAGCTTTTAAAAGGACACAATCAGTCAGAATGATCCATCAGCTTCAGATTCATTTGTTTTTCCTGGTTAAGATAGGGGTAGAGTATCTGGGCTTTAGAAACAACATATGGGTGAATGTCACCCATAAAGAATGGCAGAGAAGATCTTGATCCTGAGGGCTTTTGCCCTTCACTGCCTATCTACAGCCTTCTTATTAATAAGAAAATAAATACCTACAAGATTAAACTATTCTTAGCTGTTTTTTTTCCCCTCAGCTCTTTTTATGCTTACAGAGACATATGATTTTGTTTTAAATACACTGAAGTTGGCAAGAACAGGAACAGCCAACATTCTTAATCCAGAGCAATCCAGTAGCAATCCCAAGAGATGGACCAAATGTTAAAAATTCAGAATAAGGAAGAAGTTTTATTCAACTTGATTCTCTAACACCTAGCACAGTGCCTGATACTTAGCAGGTAATAAAAATGTTTGTTGACGTTATTTATTATATTTCTCAACTATTTTGTAATGACATACTACTTAAAGCAAACATTAGAATTCATAGAAGGTTCAGTAGCAAATTTGAATTTAATGAATAACAACAGTCATTGAATAATTAACATTTATTGAATTCTTAGTGTAATCTAAGCACTGTGCTAAATTCTTTGTGTATTTTTTAAGATTAATTCTGATAGGCATCCTTAGTTCAATAACATAAGTACTATTATCAGAAAGTTTAGGAGATATTTAAATTATTTAGCCAAGGCCACACATCCAGGGGGTATCAGAACCAGAATTCAAGGCCAAGTTTATCTCTCTCCAAACCTACACTCAACCACTATGTATTGCTAGAATATTCTAAATCTCTCTTCAAAGGAGCATTTCCTTTGACTCCTAAAAACTCTTTCTGACAGAACAGAAAGTATACAGAAAATGTTAGTTTGTGTTAATGGCTATACATTATTAATCAATTTCCACTTACTGGATGATTTATTGTTTGATTCCTCTTAGTTGACAAATCAGTTGAATTTTTCATATGCATACATTGGAATAAGTTAGCTAGAGCGATTCCCTGGGAGAGCTTTGTGCTCACTCCAGGTTGCTATTGGGAACTTAGATTATTTGCAGCATTTTTGCTTTAAAATCCTTGCATCTTTAAAATGTAGCACCACTACCTGCATGGTAGGATATTGATAGGAACAAGGATGTGGGAGGCGATTCGGTAGATACTTAAATGGCAAAAAATATAGTGCAAGTTTCACACACCCTGGAGACTGCAGGTTTATATGATAATAAATTATAGTTATCACCAGGACAAAGGGGGAAAAAAAGCCATGAAATCCAATAGCTCAGTGAGAAATCTGCTAATACAGGTGGTCAAGCTTGTTCCATTTCATTGTCAAAGGGAGGCTATTTATTTGCTTCTGGGTAGTTAAATTACAGACCCATTTACTGCTGAAAGTTTTCTAGTACGCAGATGTGGATCTACAGCTCTGGGCTTTAGATTCAAAGTCTGAGAGAAAAATAGAGGAATAGGAATTGACTCCACAGACAGCATAATTGATAAAGTGGAAATCTTTCAGCAACTCCAGAAGTAAAATAAATTTTGAATATTCTGATTGGAATCTCCTTACATTGAACATTGGGCACAGGCTAAGGAGGAAAATGCTGGCCATAATGAATATTTTTTTAGAAGCTCTTTAAAATATATTCCCTTTGACAGCCTCCTGTTTAGGTAAAAATTCAGTGTTTGGTGTATATGTCTGTAAAAGGGTGAGATAGAGACAGAGATTCCTTGGGTACCACAATGCTCATAAACAGAGAGAAAATAGTCACAATGGCTCCTCAGTAGCTATAAAATCAATGCCAACTTTCCTTGCCCATTGTGCAAGATGATTGGGACTTTTATCCAACAAGTAACACTACACATATATTTATGTATATATATAATTTTTCTCAGAACATTTCCAAAACTTGTTAGTCCATCAACAAAATAAATCAAAGATATTCCAATAACATTATTTTTCATCAGCATTTTATAATGATTTTCTTGTCAGTTGCCTTTCAGTTCATTTGCATGTCTCCAGCAACTATATTTTGCCACTTGCTTCCTGGGTATAAAAAGTGTTTGGTTAAGTTGCCAGGTAGTTTGACTCCTTTGCCAAGTAACCTTTAAACCAAAACATGTGTATAATTCTTTAATTAATTACAAATAGTAATTTCATCTATCTGAGTTTATGGCCAGATTGGAAGCTTCCAGGCACACTCTTGATGAGGAATACATTATGCAGCTGAAAGAATTCAAACTCTAATTTATACAGCCTTGAAGAACAACTAATGTGTTATAAAAGGGCTTTGAGTCCACTAACATAATCTATGTGGGAAGTGATCTACAACCAAAGATTAGCAGATATGAGTGGCATCAGCTTGCTAAGACATCTGAAGATGAAGAAAACCAAATATCCTACCTCTGGGCATCTCATGGTGAAACTGGAAAACATTATCAGGGATGTTTGCCATCACAACAAGATCAAATGACTGGACATTTGATGACTTGGTCTTATGGGGATAGTTAAGGGTAAGGGTATACATGAAAGGGTATACATGAATATGGCCCAAATGCACTAGGTCTGAATTTCAAGATCCATTGGTGCTTTAAGCTGACTTTTGAAAATCCAAAGACAAATTCATTCAATAACAGGAATCAGAAAATTATTTTAAACTTTTAGTTGCATAAGGCCAAAATGACCATTAATTTGAAGCAAATATGTATCAAGCATCTATATGCTATAAATGATTGTCTTAAACTTTTTATTTGAAAATAATCATAGATTTATATCAAGTTGTAAAGATAGTAGAGGGAGATCGCATTCACCCTTCACCTAGTTCCCTCCAAGTTTACAGCTTTCATAATTATAGCAAAAATGTCAAAATCAGAAAACTGACATTGATATTCGTGTATAGTTCTATGCCATTTTATCATACATATAGACTCTTATAACTACCACTGTAATTAGAATTCAAAACTATTTAAAATAATCTTATTTATTTTCTTGATTATAAAAATGCGTTATGATCTCAGAGATAAAGTTTCAGACTACTGTTTTACAAAACAATAAGTGTATATTGGAAGTTATTAATATCTAGGAAATTATTATCCAGTAAAATTAAACATAAAGGTCAAAGTAAAGTTTTAGCAATACAGACAATGTATGCTTTAAAAATTATTTTTGAGAGAAAGACATGCAAGCAGGGGAGAAGCAGGGAGAGAGAGGGAAACACAGAATGTGAAGCAGGCTCTCGGCTCTGAGCTGTCAGCACAGAGCTAGACACGGGGCTTGGACTCCAGAACCGTGAGATCATGACCTGAGCTGAAGTCGGAGGCTCACCTGACTGAGCCCCCCAGGTGCTCCCAGATAATGCCTGCTTTAACTGAACTCCTTTCCCTGCACAGATCAGACAACCTTGTGATTCAGCCATCAGCTTTCCTCAACATGACAGTAAATAATATTTTAGCACTGTTTACCAATGACAACTTGATGCACATTGTACTACTCCCAAACTCTTTACTGATGAAAGCCCTAGACACACACACACACACACACACACACACACACACACTCTTCCTTTTTCAGGCAAAACAGAGCACTTCACAAGTGCCCTTAAAGTGCTAATGAGGTCGCCATAACAAAAAAGCATATTAATAAATACAAAGAAACAATGAAGTAAACCAGCCAGGATTTTCCAAGCCAAACCTATTATAAGTTTTCTTGCCTTCACTAACAAGTAAATGCAACTCAAATCATTGCAGACTCCAGTTCTGATTCAGCTCACAGAAGTGGAAAAAATATATGATCACAAAAGAAAAAAAATCTAAACACCAATCTTACCTTAGCCATCTGTGCCTGCACGCCATTTGCCTTAAGAGATGCTACTGCTTTCTGTGCAGCTGCAGGACTATCAAAATCCACAAAACCGTACCCTGTGAAAACACAAAACCCCTCATTAGGACTGTGTCTCGATCACACCAGGGGAAGACATGTTTGCTGCCACCCTTGCATTCATAACTGTTGGAATAACCATAACAGCCTTAACACGTAAGGAGAGAGACCACAATATCATTAAAAGTAAAATCGTATTTCTCTTATTTTCTGGAGGTTGCGTATGTAGTCAGCAGTTTGATTTGGGCTAACTGGATGAGTAAGGTAATACATGATTTACCACGACCCTCTTCAATGAATTTGTGGCAAGGATGAGGAACACAAAATGCTGAAAAAGACAGAAATGTCTATGGCTGAAGTTAATTTTCAAAACCTCAAAAAAGCTGATGTCAATAAAAGCCTTGATAGGTCTACTTATTAAAGTGGTCACATGCAACCCCAATGGTATGTGGCACCCAGTAGGCATTTCGTATATAAATGTATGTTGACTGTGTGAATGAATGAAGGTTGTGAATGAGAGTTAGGGTCTCAACCCAGTTCCGGGTGATACAGAAGCCCATGCTAACTCACCATAGAACCTTGTCTCACTTGATGACAACATTTTTTAAATTTAAGTTTATTTATTTATTTTCAGAGAGAGAAAGAGAAGAGAGCATGCACAAGCGAGCAGGGGAGGGGCAGAGAGAGAGGGACTGAGAGAATCCCAAGCAGGTTTCACACTGTCAGCACGAGTGTGGTGTGGGGCTTGAACCCGCAAACTGAAAGATAATGACCTGAGCCCAAATCAACAGACACTTAACTGACTGAGACACCCAGGAGCCCCTCGATGACATCTTAACTAAGCCATTTTCACTGTTAAGTGATATGTGATAGAATAATTTAACAGATAAATATTCAAGCTTCTTTTTTTAAAATTGTTTTTAATGTTTATTCATTTTTTGAGAGAGTGAACACGGGAGGGACAGAGAGAGAGAGACACACAGAATCAGAAACAGGCTCCCATCTCTGAGCTGCCAGCACAGAGCCCAATGCAGGGCTTACACTCAAGAACCATGAGATCCTGACCTGGCCAAAGTCGGATGCTTAACTGATTGAGCCACCGAGGCGCTCCTCAAGCTTCTCTTAAAAATAATTCAAAAAGCAACAGATGTCACGTATTTGTCACTGGAGTATAATCTGAAAATGGCACAGGCGTCCTACTGTTCTCTGCCCTTGTGCCCATGTGAGTGCATATACACAGTGAAGCCGGGGAAATAGCTCGAATCAATGAAACAGAGTCAATGAAAAGGGGATTCTGTATGACCGTAAACGAGCTGATATTAGTCTGGGGTTTGAGCCTAACTGTAATGTCAGATGCCCTAAGAATATCTCAAAATTAAAAAAGCTCAGGGATGAGTAGCTTGATTTGGCATGTCTAAATAGCCCATCATGTGTATCCTCTTCTTATATGTTGGGCACAGATTTGCTCTGTGCCCTCATGCTTGTCCCCAGAAGTTTGGAGGTGAGCTGCTGATGCAAGCCTGCTAACCGTGCTCTGGGACCCACCCTGCCATGACCGAAGGAGAGCGCAAGGGAATTCAATTACCAACTTGTTTCTTTTAATTAACTTTTTAATTTTCTCCCCTCGAATCCCTTCTTCTTTTTCTCCCTCCCAGCATGGTATCCCAAAATGAACTTGTTACACAGCAGTGTACCATAAAATGCTCTTGAAAAGCTGGGCAGAAAAGCTGTGAAGTTTGTGTTTCTAATCCAAAGGGAAGCCTGCTCTGTAAGTACTGTTAATTCTTCTCTTCCCACAAAATTCAAACTATGTGAGTAATAGGAGTACTACCACCCACTGTGATGAGTCAGATAGAGGGAATAAAAGCAGAAAGAGAAAGCAGGGGTGGGGAGAACAAAATAAGTCAAGAAGTAGAGTCAGAGGAGCAGAAGGTAAGACTAAAATGTAGATACTGTCTGTTATGTACCAAGTATTGTCCTGTGTGTTGACACGGAGATAGCTGGTGAAATGATAACTTCATGTATCATTGGCCTCGTGCCCATTCATGATATATGAAGAAACAGAGGCTCAAGCCAGATGGCACAACTAACCACTAAATGTCAAACTGCCTAATTGGCAAGTCCAGGATTTGAAGCGAAGTCCACAGAAGCCCTTCCCAAACGCACCACACAATGAACTACTTTATAACACCACTGGGCACATTCCTTACAAGAGCCTCTGAAGCCTACCAGGGAGAGGACACAGTTCTTGAAAACTCCTTGATTTTGAAGTTAGGACATAGAGCAAAGCAGTTCCACAAGTGGATTCAATGCAGTTCATTTAGTCTGTATGTTTATTAATGGAGTGGTTGAATTCTCAGTAGAACTGGCAAAGCAAGATTTGACAAGGCACCCCCTTCCACTATATGCTTTGGTCAGTTATCCTTATCCATTCACACACTCATTCTTTCATTCAACAATGAAATTCTGGGGTACCTGGGTGGCTCAGTTGGTTGGGTGTCTGACTCAAGCTCAGGTCATAATCTCATGGTTCATGGGTTCAAGACCCACACCCAGCTCTGTGCTAACAGTACAGAGCCTGCTTGGGATTCTTTCTGTCTTTTTTCTCTCTGCCCTTCCCCTGCTCATGTGTGCTCGCTCCCTTGCTCGTTCTCCTTCTCCCTCCCTCCCTCTCTCAAAAAAATAAAGTTAAAATATTCTTTAAAAATGGGATTCTATTTCGGGGATTTTACCAGGCACATGGTACATAGCAGTTAAAAAGAATAGTCCCACTTCTCACCCTTATGCATTTTTAGAGTTGAGAGATGGACAGAAACAAATAACCATACAAACGAATCTATGATTACCAAATGGCAGGCCTTTCTTAAGAAATGAAAGCACATAATACAGAATCTAACTACTGATTGTTTAGTATTGAAAGTCCTAGGGAAGCAGTGGCCTGAAATGATTTGTGTTTCTTAAAATATCCCTCCAACTGGCTTGGGCTGCAGACTGAATTGTTTTGGAGAAGGTGGGCAGCAGGAGCGGCATCAGGAGAGGAGTTAGGGGCTGTTACATCAACCCAGACAAATGGCGGCTGGCGATAACATGGTGGCGATGAAATGGATGATCTGAATTATATTATAGAGGCAGAATTAGCAGGACTTGATGACAGACTGACTGGGTTGGAAGTAGGGGGGATATAGACAACAAGGATTACTACGGATTTTTTGGCACAGGCCACTGGGTGGGTGGAGATGTGATTTACTGATGTGGGGAGCCTGGAGGAGGATCCAACAGGGGAGAGGGAAAATTAAAATATCGGTTGAGTCAGAAATGCTTGTGAGATATCTAAGTAAAAATGTCAAGGAGCCGTTGGATATATTAGGCTAGTGCTCAGAAAAGAGGATAGGATGGGAAATATAAATTAGGAGGTCAATGGCATACAGATTTACAGAGATGGAAAGAGACAAAAATGCCTAGTGTAAGTAGAAACCAAGGGCCCAAGTTCGGAGCTTGAACAACTTCGGCATTTCGATGTCAGGCAGGGACACGGGATTGCAGAGAAGGCTGCAGGAGAATCAGAGAGGGAGAAGGGAATGGAAAGGGGAGAGGATGTCTCAAGACCTAGGGGAGAAGCTGTTCCAAGAAGGAGAGGGAAATCAACTGTCATGTGCCATTGACAGTGTAAGCAAGATGAGAGCTTTCAAGTGTCCAGTGTGCTTAGGAACGTGAGTGTCATGATCACTATTTGCTTCAGGCAAGTGCTAGGGACTGAGGCCTGTTGGGTAGTTAAAGAGTAACAGCGAAGAGGAGGAGGTAGAGAGAGTGCTTGCACCTCTCCTTATCTTGCTAGGAAGGAGAATTAAGAGATGGTCAGCTAGAGAGTGATACAAGGTCAAAGGAGCTGTTTTGGTTTAAGATAGGAAATATCAAGGCTTTTAATTTTTTTTTTAATGTTTACTTAGAGAGCTAGCCGAGGACAGGCAGAGAGAGAGGGAGACACAAAATCCAAAGCAGGATCCAGGTTCTGAGCTATTAGCATAGATTCTGGTGTGGGATTCGAACTCACGAACTTCAAGATCATGACCTCAGCTGAAGTGAGATGCTTAACCGACTGAGCCACTCAGTCACCCCAGGAGATACCAAGGCTTTTAACCTTAGCTGCACACTAGAATTTACCTTGGGAGATTAAAAAAAAAATACTAGTGTCCATTTCCCCAGGAAAGTAAATCAATATCTTTGGTACTGTGGCCAGGTATTTACACACACGCGCGCACACACATATGCACATGTGCATACACGCACACACATGTACAAACTGTGCATGTGTGTATGTGCACATGTGTGTTCCTCAGGTGATTTCAGTAGGAAGCCAGGGAACTACAGAGTATATGTTCAAACTATTCAACAAATACTTATTTGTTGTACCCACAATAGGGCTATTCTTGGCAATTTCAAATTGGGATAGGGATGATCAAGGAGACAGCAAGAGATCAAAACCTTAGGAGGGCAAGAGGATAATTTATAGAATAATGTTCCTGAAAAGTGATGGAGTGAGAGAATCTAGAACATATAAGAAGTGCTTCCCTTACTAAAAGAGGGATCTTTGGGGGCACCTGGGTGGCTCAGTTGGTTAAGCATCCAACTCTTGGTTTCTGCTCAGGTCATGGTCTCATGGTTTGTGAGTTCAAGCCCCATGTGGGGCTCTGCACTGCCAGCGCAGAGCTTGTTGGATATCTTATGTCTCCTTTTCTCTGCCCCTCCCCTGTTCACTCTCTATCTCTCTCTCTCAAAATAAATCAATAAAGAGGGATCCTTCCCTTTACTCATTGCAACTTGAAGGGAAAAAAAAGGTCACTCTTGGTTAATCAGTGTTATTTATTATATGTACCCAGTTACTGGGACTGTACTTAACGCATAGCATGTGCTTCATAAATATTTGTCAAAGTTAATTAAAAGCATGTGTAAAAGATACTAAGACTTCACAGACTAGAGTGGGAATGAACTGATTAAAATGTCTATTAATACATTTTTTACCATAAAGAACAATATAATGCCAAATGGTCCCAGTCTGGCTTAGCCATGCTGCCACCCAGTCAGGCAGCCATGGATTCCAGGACTCTGCATCTCTGTTCCAGCGTGGCTTCTCCTCTGGCCTCCTCCCCTTCCTTCACCCCGGAATGCATTACACAGGATATTACAAAATCACAATGCTGATCTCCAGGGCTCAGCTCCAACCCAAACAGAAGAAATCTCTGTGAGGGCATGAGACACCTGAGCTTTCTCTGAATCAGGGAGGGAATGAGTGAACTTTGAGAAGAATGTATTTCTAGAGCCATCATGCCCGCAAGGAGAGAGAGTGGTGCCTTTGCACAAAACATCTCCTCTACAGAAAGTTCCACAACAATAGGGGTGCTCAGATCCCGTGACACAAAGCTGTAAAGAAAGAAGAAGCCACCAGATATGAGATACTTGACGGAGCTATGTGTTTTCCATACATATATATTCAATTTCACTAATTGAAATGAAAGCTCAGAGGTTAAAATGTCTCCAGCCACCCTGGAAAACACTCCAACTGTATAAATACACATTGCATTCCTGACGGTACATATGACGTGTAACTAGGAGAACAGAATGAAATGCAAGGCTGCTCCTAGAGAATAATGACGCATTCCCTGCAAAATAAAGCGACTTCAATTCGGTTTCAATTTGCTTTCCTTGATGACAAATAATCAAGCCTGGGAACACAAACCCCCACACCTACATCTGGGGAAGGGCAGGGTAAGGAGATTAGTTCAGCTCCAGCTAATAATGCTTTATGGTAACCACTAAAATCCTCGAGAAAACGCTGGTGAATGGTAACCGTCGGAAACCCCAGCCCAAGTGGCTGGAAGTACACCAGTCTCACTCCAATTACATAATTAAGCTTGGCAGCAGGTTCAAATGAATTAAAACTGAATGTCACTGTTTTCTCTACACACCCCTGTCCTTGTTTTTCTTCCTTGTCAAGGGGAGAAGGCCAGTAGTTCTGCAATTAGTGGGAAGCAGAGCAGTGAGAAAGAATCAACTCCACGCTAATTAGGTCATTTGCCAAACGCGCTCATTCCATTGGCAGATATAATCAATGCTTTCCTGAAATCCTTTAAACTTGGTGTGTTAATTTAAAGTTTTGCTATTTTTATTGCTCTACACGCCCGGTGACTTAACAGAAGAAAGAAAAAAAATGTTTATGTATACACGTAGAAATTGTAACTGAGTTCTACGAACAATGGATTGGCCCAGAGGGTTCTGGTTTCCTTTCCTTTAGTGTATTTGTAGGCAACTTCTCGGTGACCTTTGCCATTCAACCAGACCACTGCGTGGCAATCTATTTGAATTGTGCTAAAAGTCTCTTTACCAACCTCAATAGCCTATTTTATACTTCTCTGGTACTGCTAGCTTTTTACATTTTCTATTGCAACTGCTTACCTATTAACCTTCACTGGGATTGTACTTTATATGCTGTGGGGAGGGGAATGTTAAAACTTGATTTCCTGGTTTGGATCCGTGGTGCCATCTCATCAGCTGAGAGAGACTTGCTCTGAGAGTGAACTGTACACTACATTTCACAACGTTTGCATTGCTCTTCCTCTTCAGAATGGCTGTCATAAAAGCCCACTTGAAACACAGATGGCTTGATGTAACAACCAACTTCTTTCAAAGACGATCCAGCTGTGAGTCAAATGTGATTTTTAAACAAAGTAAGTGAACACTTTGTCTAGGAATTACACGTTCAAGTGAAGATCTACTCAAATATAACAGTGAAAGTGTTTAAGAGTTGCCCTCCCATAAATGCCTCCTCCTTTCGGTTAGACTTAACAATAATCTGTGGCTGTCGTCTGAGGTCAGAGCAGAAAACCTGAGCTTCAGGGAGGGAAGGTGAGCTACAGGAAGGGAGGAAGGCTTTGCAGGCTTCCTATAGGTCTTGTGGAGTCTGGGTGCCTCCTTGTCTCGCATGTCTGCTAATTTCTCCCGCATCCCTAAAATGTTGAGTGATGGCTGAATGTCTTTTCTTAATATTGTACTTCCTAAGTTTCTGCACTATGTGATCAAAGAAGGGTATCAGAGCAGCAGTGATAAATTCTTGACGACTTGTATACTGATAATACTAAATTAGCCAGAGACCCTAGTCATTACTTCAGTATCTTCTTTGCAGTGATTAGTATAATGAAGCAAGGGTACTACAGAGTAGTACCATAATAGCCATTTGGCATAACTCAGATATGTGAAAACAAAGGCAAAAGATAAATCCTGCTGGAATGCAAAAGCTGGTGACAAGAATGCTTATTTTGAGGGAAGGAAAATCTAAGTCATTAAAATTTGAAATCACCTATGCTTTGAAACATCCTCAGAAAGTGATCTGGAATGGTTTTACACCAAAAAAAAAAAAAAAAGCTCTGTGTGTACTTCCTCTGCAAAGGGCTGTGGCCCTCAGACACTTAGCAAATAGAGGTAAATAAGAAGGGGAACAGTGTCCTTTATACAGTAAACAGATTGCTTCAGTATATTCCCCTGATGTTTGAGCTTAATTACCTAAACATTCTGATATTCCAGTGCCAGAAACACTAAAATGAGACATCAGTGTTTGGAGCAGGATTTACCGTTATGAGGAACATTTTTGAATCATGATGTGACTTTCCTATTACTTAATTTACTAAACATCTACTACGTGCAAGAAAGATAGCTCACTAGATGCTGCAGGGAAAACAAAGACACTCTAATGAGATCCTGCTCGTCAGGCAGTTTAATGGTCTAGTCGGATAGATAAGGAAATTTCAATACCACAGAGAGTCTTCTTACACACAGAGGGTTATGTTAGGTGAGCATATGCAAAATGCTATGTTTTCCTTCAGTATAGTATAGGTGGTTTTTTGTCTGCACTTCTGTGCATTGATTCTCAGTGCCTGATTCAACATGCCCAAACTCCTTCAATGAGTTGCATGATGGCAAAATTACCCACATTCTAAATTTATGTATGTATGTATTATTCTACCTCTCTGTTGGACAGTTTTTGTGCACAGCAGAAATGAATTAAATTGAATACAAATGAATTATGGAGAGGATTCGGCACCACATAAAAAGTGAAAGGAAAATGCTAGTATTCTAACATGGCAAACATTTCTTCCAGGTGGGGGCAAGCTCAGTACATTTTGGGCACAAATGACAAAAGGGAGCATCAGGAAAAGAAATTAGGTCCCAAATGGCATTTCCCGGCAGAATAGAACAATTAAGGAGACTGGCAAATTTAGGGAGCAAAGTACTTAGTAGTATGCCACTTAAAAATGGGACACTTTCTCATCCCATTTATGTTGCACAGAAAGTCTTATTAGACCAAACACAAATTCAAATCCCAAAACTCACTTCCCCACCCACCCCATTCAATTGATTTTTAAACGAGAGAAATTGCTTCTTTATACTGAATAAAGTCAAAATTAAGATCAGGATCGTCATTTATGGGCTTAGAGAGATCACTACGCTTTATTAAGATTAAAGAAATTCACTGATTTGCCAAGATCTTCGACTGGACCAAACCATTATTTTATTATAATACTGCAGAGATTATGGGAGCAGTCTGAGTGGCTGGAAATGGGCATATTAGCCTCTGTGAATCATCTTGCAAAGCTTTCCTTTGCTAACAGGCAGTGCTCAAGGATACACAGAAAATACAGTCTTGTCTGAACTGTCGTTGGCCCTGTGTGTCTCGGCGGTCAACAACAGCGGGAGGTACCACTGTGTAAGGCAGTGTGGCGGCAGGAGCCAGCCAGGGTACTGGTAACGATTCCATTGAGTCTGTGACTATGATGGAAGCAAGCTGTAACTGAACACTCTAATTATAGCTCTACGATCCCAGTGCACAGTAGGATAGATGAAACTATGATTTCATTCCTGCCCTCCCTCCCCTCCTCTGGTCCTACAGACCTGTGGAACTAGAGTTTATGCCTCTGTCAGAAACACAGAGATGACTGTCAGAGAATCCATGGGAGGACAATCCCATGCCCCCACCCGGCAACCCCGGGGTGTTTTGATGCACGTTCATGTTCAATGGCTGCAGCTAATGGCCTAGGAAGCATGTGAGTAGTCCTTCACATCCTTCTACAGCAGAGACGGCACTTGACCCACAGCCATTCAGCTTCAGAGGATGGATATTGTAGCAGAACCACCCAGAAAGATGCCTTAAGTAGCCTTAGTGCAAAAAGCAAGGAAGAGGAAGTGAATCCTACGTACAGGTCAACCGTCTTTAAGAGACATGTGTTATCTCTAAGTCTGTTTTTGTTACACTCGACCTTCTAGATATTCCCTCCATTGACGTGTCATTTCATCTAAATTTCTGCCCAAAGCCCGGCATCCCTTTAAACATTATTTTCCTGGGAATGGCTCGATGGATGGTTTCCTCCTTCCAAACCTTTGACAAAACTCACTTTGAAACCCTGAGGAAGCTTCTGTTTAACAAAATTCATGTATTTTCTAATTTATACTCATATTTTACTTGACGCAGTCTTCAGTCATGCGGTTATAGGCTTTATTCCAAATATTTTAAATAAATGTCCATAAGTACTGTTCCTATCACAATGAGAAATGGTGTCTTTTATGTTCTGTTGGACCCGAATTACTTCTTTTCATCCCACCTGATGTAACAAATACAATTCTAATTTTGTAATCAAATTTTATTTTTTAAATTTTTTTTTAATGTTTTATTTATTTCTAGGAGAGAGAGAGAGACTGTGTGAGCAGGGGAGGGTCAGAGAGAGAGGGAGACACAGACTCTGAAATAGGCTCCAGGCTCTGAGCTGGCAGTCAGCACAGAGCCCGACGCGGGGCTCGAATCCACGAACCGCGAGATCGTGACCTAAGCGAAAGTCGGACGCTCAACCGACTAAGCCACCCAGGCGCCCCTGTAATCAAATTTTAAAAAGAAAGAAACTTAAGTGTATATATAAGTAATTGAGAGTCATAGAATGCATGGGGTAAAAAGTAAATAAATAAATATTAAAAAAATAAAAAAGTCAAACAAAACAGTGTTCACTGAAATAAATGGAAATCCCTTTCTGCCTAGATCTTAGTGCTATGGTCTACCTTCCTGAGAAACTATCTTATTATTTCTTTTGATGTTTTAACTTGAAAAAGCAACCAAAAGTAATTCTTGAGCTTTTAGTATCGTCTGCATTAGAAGCCCTTAGGGACTCTAGAGTAATAAAAATTATTTCTGCTATCAAAAATCATGAAACGAAAAATATTTGTAGTTAAGATTTTGTAGATGGCTCCCAAATTGTCTATTCCTTACTAAAAACAAAAAGTAGTGTTAGTTTCTTCTAATTTTAAAAGTTATATAATTTTATTGAGGAAATTTCAGTCAATATGGAAAGAAATTAACCATGACGCCACAGCTCAAAAATAAACAACCGTTCATTTATTTTTTCTTTATTTTTAACCCAAGTGGTATCAGATTATGTAGGATTATAATTTGCCTTTTTTCCCTCTTACTAATGCATGTGGCCACCTTTCTTGGTCAATAAATATGGATTGCTATGATCTTGTTAATCTATTATTTTCAGCACCCAATTGCCCAGCTCTTTCTTAAAGATTTCTGAGCTTTATATAAGGCCTTAGCCAACTGATTTGCAAGACTGATTTTATGCCAACATTTTGAAAGATTTTTAAAATGAATAAAATCAGAATAAGCAAGACTCTTAAAGCCTCCTAGGCTTTAGAGAGTGATTTTTCCCGAGTTTTTTTGTTTCTTTGAAAGATACTTCAAAGAAACACCCTAAATGCATTGCAAACCAAAGATATCAGAAACCACTTAAATCAAATTCAAACAATGCCCTCCTGAAATACAGGAGATTGGAAGCCCATTTTCCTTCTCATCGCAATTAGGTTGGACCCATCTCAAAGGAATTTTGGAAATATATTGGGACCTTAAGAGACACAATTTCAGGTCTGTGATTCAGAGAGGATGCCAAGAATTTGAATAGTCATGTCATTATACTCATGATTACTCATTTATTTAGAAGTTGAAAGCGAGTCCCCACCCCCACCCCAAACAATGAAAGGTATGTTTTCTCTAAGGAAATTTAACTGTAATATGGAAATTGGTATTCAGGCTGATGATACCCACTCTTCTGTGTCCCTTTAATAGCTGGTGATCTGTAACTTATAGCTCAGGTCTTCTCTCTTACAGGCAGAACTTGCTTGAAGAGTCCTAGCTGCCTAAAAACAATGGGATTTCAATGATGCTAGGACATGCTGTTTAAATGCAGTTTAGAGAACTGTGACCTGGAGGGTTAAGTACTAAGTCCTAACTAAGGTCAGGACCTGGTTCATCAGGGTCAGGACCTGGTTCATCAGGGAATTGGGTCTGTAATCAGAGATCAGAAAGGTTTTTATTATTCTACATATGGCCTTTGGACTGGCAGCAACGGCATCACTTGAGAGTTTGTAGAAATTCAGAATCATCTACCCACTGTCGATCTACTCAGTAAGGCTCTGTATTTTGACAAGATCTCCTGGTATGCACATTATATGCACATTAAAGACTGAGACACCTTAGTCTGCAACAAGCCACTCATCAGGTCTGGACTGCACCTACTGTCCTCGTAAAACTGCAGGGAAAATGGGGATCTTCAATATCCTCTCCTCCAACCTCTATCTGGTCTTCCAATCTCCTTACGGTTGCTGTGCCAAGCACTCTTTGGTCTCCACTGGACAGAGCTGATGTTAAGAAATACACAGTCCCCAAAGTGGCTCACACTGGACAAGTGTATTTAACAGAAAACTGTTTGGTGTGACTGAAGGACAATGATGCTGGTGACAATGATACAGTCTAGGTTCTAATCTTAGCTCTGCTGGTTTGATAGCAATGAGTCCAAAGGCACAGAACGCTAAACCAAAATTAAGGGTAATAATAATATTACCTTAATTATATATTGGCTCTGGGCACTGAGTGAATTAAAATGCCTTCAAAGCTCCTGGCCAAGCGCCTAAGGCCTCTTCTCTCTCTCCAACTCCCTCACTTTCTTAGACTGTGCTGACACCTGGCACCTTGATGTAATCCATTTGGCATTAGCTGCATTCTAAGAGACAAGCCACACAAGTGGATTACCTTCTCCAAGTAATAAATTTCTATGTTTTTAAAGACAGCAATTTTTTCCCTGCTTATGTTTGTAAAATTAATATTTGGAAATGCAGGATGGGGACTATTTTTATATAATAGCCAATTTCAGAACAAGTACATGCCCTCCTTCTCGCTCTCTCTCTCCTTTATGTTTGTCCTTCAGAGATAGACCTAATTCTGTTAAGTTACAAAGTTCAAATTGGCCCTACATTAATATATCCCCTTAAAAAAGCAATGTTCATTTGAGAAAGCAGGTAGCCAATGTGAAGAGTGATTATACAATAAATGTATTATGCAAATTCCAGTGAACATTTTATGCACACTGGATAAAGAATCAAATTAAAGTCTCATAACCCTTGGAAAATTAGAGTTAGCAAGCACAGAGGTTGATTTGCCCTTGAACACAAAAACTGCTAAGAGCAGACATTCCCCCATCATTTCCACAAAACTGAACCATTTCTGAAGGTTTCAGATTAAAATAAGAAATCCCCTAGGAGTCATAAAAATCAGCTATTTTTACAGAAATAATTTGGAGTTGCAATTTTAAAGTGTTATGAGTTGGAAGGAATTGGTGAACTTCTGTGTCATATTTTGAAAAGCTAATATTCCAAGGAGCCGGCCAGTTGAGAACACGCAAAATTGCATAGGGAGAGGGGACGCAGGAAGGGGGGAAAAGGCTTCTGTAGAATCCACACTGGAGGGCTGATTTACCGAGCTTTCCCCATAACGGCCCGAGAGTGGCAGTTATGCGATAGACCACTATGCTCCTTCGATTTTCCTTCACTCGAGGTAATAATGGGACATAATAGCTGCCTTCCTATTACACTGTCATGTCCACTTCTTTGTGGCTTGCCAACACCGATTCTACCGCTGGCCTTTCTACAGAGAAATAATGGACCATTAAGAAGGAAAATGCAGAGAGGGCCTGTACAGTGTTTTCCTATTGGAGAACTGAGAAACCATCACAAGCACTTCACTAAATCAATAAGCAAGTATAGGTGTGAAGGAGATAGGTCGAAAACCCATTTTGCCCCCAATTTTTATACATGGAGCGAGGATGTGGGCTCCAGTGCCAAGAAGTCTCCATTCATTCATCCTGGAAATCAATGTTGTTTCCTGTTCATCCTTTTTGGGAACCAGGAAGGATGTAAATATGAAAATAGTGCTATTGATTTAACAAGTGCTCAGTGAAGTCCTTTTATGAGTCCTGAGGTAGGTGCTATGGGGGTAGAAAAAGACAAATGAGACACAGATTCTCTCCTAAGGGAATATGCGAGGCCAAGGAGAAACAGCCAGCTTAACACGGAGATGCCCATTAAAGGCCATTCATGGTGTGCTTGTCATTAGCACAAAACCCTGTAGCAGATAACACGATGGTAGAAGGAAAGCTTATGTCTAAGTCGGGAAGAAATGATGGAGAAGGCAAATCTGAGCTTTTAAAAACTGTTCTCTTTTTTTTTTTCTCATGTTATAACTTTTTAATCAACTTCATTGAAGTATAATGTACACATAATAAATGCCCATTTCAATGTGTCCTGTTTGATGAAGTTTGTAAAATTCTCATGTAGAATAACAATCAAGATACAGAGTGCTTTCGAATAACAATCAAGATACAGAGCACTTTCCTTCCCACTCCCAGAGCCCCTCATGCCCTTTTAGGGTCACCTCCCCATGAAGCTTCTAGGCACCAGCAACCACTAATCTGCTTCCTGATAATTTTATGGATGAATCTGTCTTTTGTAGAATCTCACATTTTCCTCTTTTTTCCTTCTGTTTTAGGTTTTTGTTTATTTGTTTTTGTTTTGTTTTGTTTTGTTTTTGTTTTTGTTTTGCATAGCATGATGATGAAAGGGAAACGGCATCGTACTTTGAGCAAAGACTTAAGGGCATGTAAATAAAGGGTGAGCTTGAGAACTTAGCAAGGTCGAAGAGAGACCAAAGAGCAATTTACAAGGAGCTGTGTGAAATAATAAGGGACAGATGACGTGACCTGCCCATGTATTATGTAGAACTTTTGAACAATTTTACATCAAGGTTCATGTGACCCTCCTGCTCCCTCACTGTACTCCTGCTACAGGCCTCAGGACCACTGAACCTGCTGCTTCCTCCTTCTGGGATATCCGACCATCTCCCGGTCTGTACAGAAGCTGGATTCTCTCTCTCCTCCATTAGTCTCTATGAATAGATGTTCTTAATGTCCTTCATTGGACAGGGCATAATGTGTAGGTTACTTCATTTGTTTATAAGATGATTGTGTTTTATCGCAATGGACTGTCCGTGCCAAGATCATAGAGAACACAATGGTTTTGCTCAGAAGTGGGCAGATCAGCAGGACTGTGACACTTTATGGCTCATATTAGCCACTGAAACAGTGAGTAAGTGAGTGAATGAGTAAATTCATAACAAAAACCTCTGCTTTTAGCCAGTCACATACAAAACTTTGGGCATTATAACTCACACAAGTGGTTTTGTTTTTGTTTTTGTTTTAATTTTTTAAATGTTTATGAGACAGAGAGACAGAATGCAAGTGAGGGAGGTGCAGAGAGAGAGGGAGACACAGAATCCGAAGCAGGCCCCAGGCTCTGAGCTGTCAGCACAGAGCCCCACATGGAGCTTGAAATCATGTACCACGAGATCATTACTTGAGCCAAAGATGGACGCTCTAACAACTGAGCCACCCAGGCACCACAATTCACACAACTCATTTTGACAAACAGTTCTTCACTCCTCTTCTCCTAAAATACCCTTTTATTCTTTTAAAAATAATAAACGTTTATTTATTTTTGAGAGACTGAGAAAGACAGAGCATGAGCAGGGAAGGGGCAGAGAGAGAGGAAGACAAGGATCTGAAGCAGGTGCCAGTCTTTAAGCTGTCAGCACAGAGCGTGACGCGGGGCTCCAACCCACAGATCGCGAGATTATGACCTGAGCCGCAGTAGGATGCTTAGCCGACTGAGCCACCCAGGCGCCCCTAAAATACCCTTTTATTCTTACGTAATTTAAGGAGCAACACAGAGCTTTGTAAATTTGCAACACCAGCCCTAAAAAATCGCAACATTGGCCTAACGGTTGTGCCTTTTGGGGGACGAGACAAAGTATTTAACTTCCAGAGAGACCTGCAGGGTGTTGGAAGTAAAAAGTTACCATAACTAAAAAACTAGTAATTGTTATCTCAATAAGGCAAGATTCCCTTTTCTAAATATGTCAAATGTGCACTGAAAACAAGGATGATAAGTGTTGGGGGAGTTAATGCTTTGGCTGTTTTTGAGGAATTGGAGTTGTATGCTACAGGGTTTTCAGGTGAAGTTAGCACAGCACACGTTTCAGATCAATAAATGACTTTGTGTCAAGGGCCTGCTGGTTGCTTGTCTAGTTTATTGTGACTTAACAAAAGGGCCCAGGAACAATATTTCTCAGCGGAAGAAAAAAAGCTACATGAGCTGATGGCTCATCTGGAAGCGACAGAAAAATTCAAGATCAACAATGTTCACAAAGCGGCAAAGTCTACAGAATGCCAGAACTCTCTAGTGCAACAGGATCATTGTAAAAGTAGCGAAACCACTGTTTCCAAGTCATACTTTTAGAAACTTGCCCTTGGAAATGTTTTCCAACACACAAAGATTCACAAACTGTGGCACAAGCCAGTATTTTGTTTTGTTTTGTTTTTTCCTGACAGTAATACCACACTAACTCATTTTCTATACCCTCCTGAAAGCTCTCCTTTCACTGTACCCTAGGGACTTTTAGCCATTTAACAAATACCACATCCAAGAAAATAAATCTTTTGACACATAATTTAAGTTGTTTTTCACCCCAAACTGCTGGTGAGGGGAGAATAAATTTCCATCTTCTTCATTTTATATTAGCTTCTTCTGGTGATGAACAGGAAGCTTGGGATTCCTTCTGGGGTTGGAATGCACATTGAAAAAAAAATGGCCTAAGAGAGTTTACTTTCTTTCTTTATGAAGAAGATGGGGCACCTGGGTGGCTCAGGCAGTTAAGCCTCTGACTTCAGCTCAGGTCATGATCTCACAGTCGTGAGTTTGAGCCCCACATTGGGGTTTGTGCTGACAGCTCGCAGCCTGGAGCCTACTTCGGATTCTGTGTTTCCATCTCTCTGCCCCTCCCCTGATCATGCTCTGTCTCTGTCTCTCTCAAAAATAAACAAACATTTAAAAAGAAAAATAAAAAATGGAAAGGATGAAAATAATAATAAGAAGAAGACTCAGGGAAAATCCTGATACCAAAGCATCTTCTTCTAGGAAGAAAGCAACAGAGTTTCAGTAACACCAGATATTTTGAGACTGATTTTTTCAGAGATATTCTTTTCTTGGAAATGATAGAGGTGACCTGTACCTAGACCCACGATGATGGCATTGTCTTTCCAGAAGCTGACCAGCTTTAAGCTGACACATCATGACAACAGGATGATGTCCATCCTAAAAAATAAGGCAGGGCTGGAGAGTAGTAGTTCAGCATTTTTCCTGGCAAGTTTCTGCAAGGTGCATTCAAAGTTCCGGCTTAAAGTAGACAGAATGCTACATTACCCAAAATACAATATAAAGAATGTGCATAATATTAAAAACAAAAGCAACATATTCTGCTCTGTGCACTAAATTTGTTACACTTTATATCATTGAGATCTCACAGTAACTTTATAAGTTATGTACTATTACTCCAGTTTTGAATATGAGGCAGCCTAGTCTCTGGTGAAATGTTCTCACTGTAACAAACAATGGATTGTGTAAGCTTTGTCAAAGTGTGCAGCTGGGCATCAGTGTAATATATATATATATATATATATATACATATATTTTTTTAAATAATAGATATATTAAATAAATAAATATTTAATAAAAAGATATAATATATATATATTAAAAAATAACCACCATACATTCAAAAACATTATATAAGAAACGTGCTTCAATTATAATACTTATAACTTACAAAAGGATTTGAAAAATTATCTATTGGTCCCCAGGGCCTAAAAGAAACTGGAGCAATGTTATCCTTCAATGAATATTAATTGAATAAATGAATGAAAATATGACATTAAAATATTTTGTTGTGTACTTAGGACTAGAGGCTCCTCCTGTGTTAATAAGGAACAAAGATGTAAGAATTTCTATACTGATACATCTTGACTGAGGGTTCAGATAGGTGTTGGTTCACTCCTGGGTTCTCACCACCCATAAGACTGCTTGGAATGTAACAATGATCAAAAAATACTGGTTGAATGAATGAATTAACAAATGGCCTTTAAAAGGGTAAAGGACAGACCCAGGACTGTCATCAGTCTAGGAAAGCTCTTAGGAGAGATGAGAGATTATGGCTATAAAAGACTTTCCTCTACCATGACCTCTCTTTGTTTTCTTTTTTTTTAATGCTTATTTATTTTTGAGGAGGAGGGAGGGGCAGAGAGCAAGGGAGACACAGAATCCACAGCAGGCTCCAGGCTCCGAGCTGTCAACACAGAGCCCGATGTGGGGCTTGAACTCACAAACTGCAAGATCATGATCTGAGCCAAAGTTGGACGTTCAATCAACTGAGCCATCCCCTACGATGATCTCCTTTTCTAGAGGCTTCTCTATCATCTCACAGGTCAGGATCACAACAGACTGGTCCTGCACTCTCTCTCTCGGATCAAACCGTGAAATCAACAACCTTTTTTTTTATTCTTTTTTTTTTTAAATGAAATTGTTTTATGTTTCTTTTTCTTTTTCTTTTTTACAAATAGTTTATTGTCAAATTAGTTTCCACGTGACACCCAGTGCTCATCCCCACAAGTGCCCTCCTCCGTGCCCCTCCCCCCTCCCCCCCACATCCATCAGTCCTCAGTTTTTGTCAGCATTCAAGAGTCTCTCATGGTTTGCCTCTCTCCCTTTTCCCCACCATTTCCTCCTTCTTCTCCCCCTTGTTCCTCAGTTAAGTTCCTCCTAATCCTCCTATATGTGCAAACATATATTTGTCCTTCTCTGCCTGACTTATAAACACTTTGACTTTGTTTCCTCTACCTCTGCCCCCACCCCCCACACACCCCTTTTAAGGCTTTACTTCCAGACCAGTCTCTATCCTTTAGTTTTTTAAGTTATGTCTTTAAGCCCAAAACACAAAGAAAGTATCTAGGTGGGTGGTTGATATCTCAAGAGTGGCTTCCCCTGAAGGAACCATATTTGTAAAACAAGATGATTCCCAAGCAACTGATTTGGTGTTTTGCTCAAAGTTGGCATATGCTTATGATGGATGATAATGGGTCAGAAGAGGACTAAGCCAAGCTGTGATATGTGCATAAAGTATCATCTATGGAGAAAGTAAAATGGTTGGTAATGGCAGACCTTCCTTGCAAGGTATTAACAATCAAAGGTAGATCTTTAACACATCTAACCATATATTCAGAATCTATACCCAAAGCAAGCTTATACCAAGTGGTATAAAGTGAGTTGGAAGGAAAATAAAAAAGTTCATTGGTTGTGCGGAGAGAAAGAGAGCAAGTGGTTCAGGTGAGCTTCTGGAACTTCCCTCATAGGTCATCACATTACACAGGTGACTCTGTAATCGCTATCATGGCTTATTCCTTATGGACCAGTAGCCTATGTAGTACAGCCAACGCAGAGATGTGATCTCTCTAGGTTAAACTGTTTTAACTAATATATAAATATATATTATAATATAATATTATATAATATATAAATATATATTTAACTCATTGCAATTCATATGTTTGAATTTATTTAATTCAATTCAAATTTGAGAAATTTCAGATAAGAATCCAATCTCAGCCTCTGTTTAACAATCACAAGATTGGGTGGCAATGAGTCCATGTGAAAACAGATGACTGTCACTGAGTAGAAGATGCTACTTTTGGTCTGGTCATAATTGCATCAGTTTGCCACAGTGTCAGTCTACTCACACTTACTTCAATTTCTTGCCTGGAGGACTCCTGGCCAGTGCAAACTAACAAAAATTAGACCCAAAGCTGGATATCTTATTTTTTTTAATTTTTAACATTTATTTATTTTTTAGAGAGAGAGAGACAGAGGCAGAGACAGAGTGCGAGTGTGTGAGAGGCAGAGAGAGAGGGAGACACAGAGTCCGGAGCAGGCTCCAGGCTCTGAGCTGTTAGCACAGAGCCCAGCGTGGGGCTTGAATTCATGAGCCATGAGATC